TGCCGGGGTGCGGTGCGCCCCCCCAGCCCGGCCCGACTCTGCCCAGGGGGCTGGCCCGCTCGCTCCCCGATCCGTGGGTCTGGAGACAGCGTTATAAAGCGGCAGCTGTAAAGCTGAGTCATTTGGCACTCGCTCCCGCCTGGCTGGTGGCTGTTGAACAGCATCTGAGCTTTGAACCAGACTGGCCGTGTCGGAAGGTCTTTTTTTACCCAGTTCTAGATGTGTGAAAAAGATAGCTGGTGCACCCACTGAACTCCTGCGTGGCTTTGAGCCGAGCGTTGCAGTAACAATACGGCTGCCCTGTTAAAGCCTCTCCAGCCTCTGCAGGCTGGAGTTGACCACAGGTTATCTCAGCAGACCACTTGTCCCAGTAAGTGGACCTTTCCAGCCCCACAACGCAATTTTGTGAGGCTTTGTGTACCCTCCACTCCCAAGTCCCCAGAGTTTAGCTGAGCCTCACCCTGTTCTCGTTCTCCACGCCTGAGGATGATGTGGCCTTGCTGAGGTGTCCGCTTCCTGGCTTTTTTTTTTTTTTTTCATTTTTTGTAAGAAGTACCAGCATAGACCCAGAAGCAGCATGCATGTTTTTAATTGAAGGCTTTTATTTTCTTGTTTCAGCTTTAAATCTAGTTTTCCATCATTCTGTGGGTCTATGGCAGGGCTTTGTGCCGTTGTTTGGCTTCAGATCCAAGGCCGTGGCTCTTTTTGATGTGGGCACCATGGCACCGCAGTCAGGCTCTGAGGGATGGGGCACCTGCCACGCAGTTGTAGTACGGCTGTTTGGAGAGGGATGAATGAGAAGCGAGAGGTACCAGTGTGTGAGCACAGCTGACTTGCTGGGGAGCTGCACAGGAGTGAGGAGGTGATTGCACAGCCCATCTGTTGAGGGCAAAATCATGTATTTCCTGCGAGTCACCTTTTGAACGGGCTGGGAATGCTCCACAAAGTCTGATCCAGCAGAAAATCCCAAAATGGTGAAATTGAAACTGATCTTGAAACAAGTTAATGTCTGCTGGCACCAAAGAAATTACTGGGGCAAAAGGTTTTACATTCTTGGAAGAACCTGGTTTCAGTGATTTCGGTGATGTTTGCTTTTTAGTCTAAATGGTCTTTGTTTTAGAGGTTAGTAAGCCCAGACTACAAAGTACCGAAGAAGGAAAATACTGAAGTTTAACAAACACCTCTTGACATTTAAAAAATCATTTTCTCAGCCTGAGCTGCTTTGGAAGGGAGGTGAGGGGGAAGCTGACTTTTTTGACTTCTTGATTTGGAATGAGGAAAGTGTTGTTACAACTGTCTGAAGGATAAGAAAAATCTTTTCCAGTTTAGCTCTGTGATGCAAATAGGGCAAATGCTGGCAGAACCCTTTAAAGAGAAAAACCATGTTACCCTAATGACGTTAGTTATTTTTTTTTTTAATTAATGTTTGGTCCTCTGTTAACGGGATTCTGGGAGCCAATACCTGATCTTAGGTTCCTGTGAGTCCCAGGGAAGCTCCAGATCCTCTGTGTAGATTAGCCTTTTGGGTAGACAGTAGAGGAGAGGGGGAAAAAATGAACTGAAATCTGTGGGCTGTAGGTAAATGGCACCTGATGAAGGAAATGAGGAAAGAAGACTATATATAGAACTGATTGTT